AATACTTTTCAAACTCGCAACATAATAGATGAATAAAAATTAGGTCTATTTCCATTTTGGAGCATATTCAGTTAGAAAGCCAATGCCAAATTCTACTACCTGTTCACTTATAAATTACCAATTTCATTTCCACAACAAAATATATTTAACAACACTAAAAAACCTTCTGAAAATCATATAATAAGAAGCAATAATATGAAAAAGATATCAAAAAATAAAAACAGTAATACATGAAAACCAGCAATTCCATAAACTGATATGATGTTATAAAGCTAACATTAATTGGCAAATTTATGACAATAATTCACATTTACCTATTTTTAGTTTACTTGATATATTTCAGAGCAGAACCATAACATAATCATTTCTTAAATTATACAGGAACATTCTGACTACATTTTGAAAACAAAATAACGAACAATTTCAGGGCAGCTTGTTTGAGATAAAGGTAATCATAAAGCTGTAAGACAAATTGAAACCATTACACAACACATATCGGAAAACCCATCTTCAAGAAAAAATTATAAATGATAAAATAAGAAAAACTAATTAAAAGTGGATTAGTAATAATGATGCTTGATCCAATTCTATGCATCAATTTCCATAAACTTAAGAATTGAAAAAATGCTAGAACCAAAGAATAAAGTGAAAAGCTCTTCATGAAAGCACTAGTTTAGTACAAAACAATTGTAAGTTATTACATCGTCACCATGGTAATCATTACTTGAAGGAAATACTTGCTACATCTCAGTAGTAGTAAAACATTTATCCGTCTCGCTAATGACATTACTTAAAACTTGCATAATTTTGTAGTAAAACAAAACGCAATGATTAATAATTGCACAATTAAACATTTTGCTGATAAAACCAAATTGTAGAAAATGATTCAGATTAGTAATTTTACAGTGGTACACTTTAGATTATTCGTGCTAACACAGTCTTTTTTTCGTCAAATCTGTCCAAATCTAACAGAATAGTTTTACAAAACCACCAGTATGCAGCCAAATTATCATGAACAGAAGAAGAAAGAAATGCATCACTCAATGAACTATTTGTTGTTCAAAATCAGCAGTTTATGTGATTCATAAAAATGTCACAAACAAGAATCAAAAAATAATACGTCAGAATCACGCTATTAAGCTATAATAATGCATGAATTAAATTAAAGGAATAATAAACTAAGTCTATTATTTTGAACAATAAACATTTCAGATTTTTGATTGTATTTACGTTAGTTTCGTTCATTTCTCATATGATGTAGAGATAAGCATTTTTTTTGACAGTATGCGAAATTACTTTCTATTTTCAAGCACTGATTTCAGTTCACGAAAATGATGCTTTTCTTGTATCTCACTAACGTATAATTAATAAATTTCACTAGATTTTAGATACTTTAGAGAGAATGTTGAGACTAACAAATATGACTGACTAATCATTCTAAGCCTTGATAAGGACAGATCATAATGTTAATGATAGAGTGCATAATAGTATCCATTTGACGGTTATATTTTTCTAGCTAAAATAAATAAATAAATAATCATATATATATGCTTATTTATTTATTTATTTATTCATTTATTTATGGGTAGATATCTAGATAAAGTCATGAATAAATATAGAGATTAATAGACATGTGGAGAGACAGAAATAAATAGATAGATAAATAGGTTTCAGTAAAATAGATAGATAGATAGCTTTAAGGAGAGACAAGCTTGCAAGTTGTATAAAATCACATATTCCCTAAATATTACTCACTGAGACAAAAATAACAATAGAAATGGTAGCAACATACAAATAACTTCTTTAACTGGTTTTGTATCCATCTCTGCAGTATGAGAGAGTCTAAAAAAAGCCTTTACAACAACTTGAAAGCTTCTTCGCTATACAAAATAGCTTCAGTTCTTCAATGAACTAAGTTCCTTACAGAAGCATTTAAAATGTGGATGAGAGTTTCGTTTGATTTCAAACACAAAAATCACTTGCAGAGACAGAATCACAATAAGAAAGCAAGAAGTTATTTAAGTAAATGAAAAATTGACCAACGTGACCAGCTCAGATTCTTAGACAATTTTACTTGTAAGACGTAAATTTCTTCCACAAAAAATGTATGAAACAATGTGTTAAAAAAATGAATTCCCAAAAAATAAATAGCTTTCAAAGATTTCAAAGACAAAAACGTTAGAAAACACGTTTGAAAGAGACAAAAAAAGTGCAGAATAAAGTTTAATTTTTGTTACGTCAAAATGTTCATGTCATAGTTGATCATGTTGAGTACTGTCATCACTGGTGATAATGTATGTTGTATAATTAGTATTTATTATTAATTTCCTGTGCTAAAAGTGAGTATAATAAGCTTTTACGAGGGTACACGATAATTAGAGCAAAAAATTAACATGATGACAAATCCATTGTCCATTATTAATAAAAATTTCATTGAGCATGATTTTAATTAGTATTTATTGCTTAACATTGATGCATTACAGCACAGAACCGACATAACATAAAATAACTGTAAGGAACGGAATATTTATGAGAGTGATAATTAAAATTAATACATGAAGTGCTAATTGAAACACGTTACTTTAGAGAGAAATGAACGCAAAGAAATTGACTATAAATACTGGACAAAGTTCATCAACTAAATGAGTACTCAAAAGGAAAAATAATGAACCAAAAATTACCTTAAACTTACCACCGAACTAGAAGAACAACACTTACCGTTCACTATCTCCTAACCTTGCTTCATGTCAAGGGTCATGCTCTCAATACTAACAAACACGTACACAAGTACGTACGTAAGGAATCACCGTTCAATTGACGTTTCTCTTGCTTCCATTTTAACAATATTTACTGCCAGGTCTCAGTGCAGTATGCGACAAAGAATAATTTTCATTTAGTACTGTTTTCGTAGTATGAGATGGTATATTGTTAGAAAGTCATTCGAGTAAGCTTTCGCCAGGAGTTACGTGATTGTACGTGTACTGCAAGTTTATATACTACATCTTAACCTGCTTTAATACTTCGGAAAGAAATTTTCTCTGCCTTTATTTACCAAATGTGTCAGTACTATTTATTATTTCTTACTCTTTCATTTTTTCCTCAAATTTGTGCTTGTATAGAATTTTTTCCCTTGTTTCTAAAAAGCATTTACTTGTACTGTTAAAAGAAGACACATCTTTAACTCTCGTTGGAATCGATCAACTTCGGTTGGTTGTTTTAGTGCGATAATACTTTTTAGTGATTGCAAGTCTCTTACTTTCTTTGTCCGATTCTCAGTTTCACTCGTCATACAGTTGCTACCGTTGTATTGATTTCTCATAAAGTCACTAATAACTAAAATTTGTCTGGTTTTTTTTCGTTTCCATCTACGATTTACTATAAATTTAACCATAATATTTCATGTCTGCTCTTTTAAACCACTTCCAAAACTCAAAAAATTTTTTCAAAACCTAAATTGGGAGTTTTTCATTCTTATTTTTCAATTACAACATTGAAAATTTGCATATTGACAGGTGACATCATTCTTAAACTTGATTTAATTTTAGAAAATTGAGTGTAATGTAATGCTATCAAATATTAGCTTGGTATTAATCAGTATTCTCGTTAGGGCATGAAAGCCAGTGCAGGGAGTACAGATACTTGTTTATTGTATTTCACTGGTAGATCTAGTGGAACAAATTCTTTTTGTTATCATTCTCTTGAGGTAATTTTTAAGCTTCATTTGGTACGTGCATATCTGTTCCTGGATTACTTGTCAATCATTGAATTGGCGAAGAGTTCGAAGGGCAAAAGTGTAAGTTTCATTATATACTCTTGTTCTTTTTTGTCTTTCAAGCAGTAAAAATTCTTTCCTTATAAAAATGCAAACAATTGAAAATTTGCATAAATTAATTTTGGACTTTAATTTTTGTTTTTCCAAGAAAGAGTTTTATTGTGTAGCTTTGATCATCAGTTGAAATAATCAAAAACCAGTCATTAATGGGTTTCGAAATAGATAAGTACACTGCTTCTTTGCACACTGTTTTCATTTCTATTGTTGCTCTCTTGGTGTGTGGCTGGTTAATTTAGTCATTTGCTGCATGTCGTGTATATGCGTGATCTTTATGTTTTAAAAGAACTAAGAAATTTTGAAGTGGGTTAAGACAACCTGTAATGAGTTTCAAGATACAATACTTGTCGGTTTTTCCTTTTAATACTTAGTATTATCTTAACATGCAGACTTGATTTCATCATCATATATCACTTTAAAAAAGTTCAGTTTCGATGTTCTGGGGTAAGTCAATTATTTTTCAGATTAAATTAAAGGAGAGATCTCTTTAATGAGAACAAGGAGTGCACGAAAAAGATCCATACCTGGGACGCAAAGTGACGATAATATGGGCCTTCGTAATACACCTTCTATTGATGAAATATGGGGTGACATGGAAGTTGGCCTTAAAGAAGTTTATGCTCGGCAAACTATGGTCCCTGCCCGTTACATGCAGCTATACAGGTAAACCATAGATATATGTATTCGAAATGCGTGTATTGGTGGGATAGGAAAGTTTTTTTCTTTCATTGTAGTGATTGTTGACTGTGTATTCATTAAACAAAAAAATGTAGAAAAAAAGAATAAGTTTCGGAACTTGATATTGTAAAAAGTAAGTGGGATCTATCTTTGATTTTTCAAATTTTTACTAGAAAAATCAGTTGTTTGCAGTCGTGTGTATACGTATTGTACATGTGTAGCATATAACGGTGAATCACAGAGGAGTGGTCGTGGTCGTCAGACTCGTATTGCACGTACTGGTCCTAATTCGATCGGTGCCGAGTTTGTTGGTTTAGACTTGTATAATCATTTAAAGGAATTTTTCCAAAACTATGTGGAAGGTGTTTACCAGGTATTTTTTTTAATATTTCAGTTACCATTAACGCAGTTTCTGAAAATTTCTTATTATAATTCTAGTAATAAATTTTTCCTTTCTAAACAATTTAATCACAATTTTCGGTTGCAGAGAGGACATGATTTAATTGGTGAAGACGTTTTAAATTACTTTACATCAGAATGGGACTCATACCGATTCAGTTCCAAAGTAGTAGGGGGCATATTCAGTTATTTGAATCGTCATTGGATTAAGCGAGAATTAGATGAGGGAAACGAAAATATCTATGAAATTTATGTTGTAAGCATTACTTTTATCAAAATCAATTGAATAGCTTTTTGCTATACTTTTATTACATATTTTGGTAAGAACTATTTTGATTTTGATTTTCGTATTTAGAATCTGTATTATATATATATACTTGTTTTCTGGATATTTTTGCTGGTTGATTGCAGTTAGCAATTGTGACGTGGAAAGAACACTTATTCATTCATATGCGTGACAGTGTGACTAGCGCGGTATTGAAGCTAATCGAACGTGAAAGAAATGGTGAAAAAATTAGTACAAAACTAATAAGTGGAGTTATCCAGTGCTACGGTATGTTCAGTGCTGTTTAAAACATGTTTACTGCTTATTATCATTATTTTTAGGACATATCTCAGTTTTATCGTGCTCAAATCTAGAATTTATGACGAGAGAGAATTTAAATAAAATCAAACTCTTTAAGTGGAACTGGGTGTCAATGAAAATGATTCAAATATTGGTTCTGTAATGAGTACATCAGTTGCCCATGTGGATCGTTTACCAAAATTACGAGTTTATCGTGATCATTTTGAAAAACGCTTTATTATTGAAACGGAAACATATTTCGCAAATGAAGCTGCTGAGTTTATCGCCACAAATTCTGTTACTGATTATATGAAGAAGGTTGGAAATATTAGTTAAAGATATAATCAGAATTTTAACTTAGGTATATATATACCTAAATTGTTAGGGAAAAATCTACTTTTTATTTTACTGAAAATTGTACGTTTTATTTCTTAAATGAATACGAAAATGATGTTTGAGGTGGAAAATCGATTGAAGGAGGAAAAAGAGCGTTGTAACTTGTACCTTCACGAATCAACACAAGATTTGTTGGCAAAAACTCTTGAAAAAGTCCTAATCACCAAGCAGTTGGATCTGTTCCAGTGTGAGTTTGGAAATCTGCTGGAGTGCAACAAGGTTCTCTTGATATTTGCAATTGATTTATTCTCATCTAAGTGTGTTCAAACATATTCATCGAAAATTTATTTCGCACTTTTCTGATCCTTTTAACTTTTTACTACTATCTCATTTAAAGTGATTACTTTAAAAAAACGAATTGAAACGTAGGATTCTGATCTCGAACGTATGTACATGCTTTGTGATCGAGTAGAAAATGGCTTGGATGAGCTTCGTTTGGCTCTTGAAAAACATATTTCTCGTCAAGGAGAAGCTGCACTAGAAAAAATAGCAGATATAGCAGCTAATGTTAGTCCATAAAAAGTCAAGATAGCTTTCTAATAATTTGGCACTGTGCTGCAGAAATGTAAATTATAACATTCAACTTTTTTGTATTTGCCAGACTTTCACTGGATATTTGTGGAAATTTTGCGACAACTATAAGATGATTTCCCGATATTACAAATTGAGATAACCATTTCAGGATCCAAAGCACTATGTTTCTACCATTCTAGAAGTCCATAAACGTTATCATGGATTGGTAACTTGTTCTTTTAAGAATGAACCTGGTTTTGTGCAAGCATTGGATAAAGCGTGTACATCATTCATCAATCGTAATAGTATTACAAGGAAAGCAAATGTATGCTATATTTTCTTTCATTTTCTGCAATAAATTAAACTAAAATATACTTGAGTATAAGCCAAAAATTATTCTAAAATGTGGCATGCTACAGAATACATCAAAGAGTCCGGAGCTTCTTGCCAGATATTGTGATCTCCTACTGAAAAAGAGTGCCAAAAACCCGGAAGAGAGCGAGCTAGAAGAACTTCTCAATCAAATCGTAATTAATTTTCAAAATGTTCTAATTTCAAATTTGGCTGAAGTTGCGTCTGGAAGATGTGTAGTTTTTGATAAAAATTTCGTAAACTCACTTATTTGTAATTCAGGTTTTGATTTTGGATTCCTTTGCAGATGATTGTTTTTAAATATATCGAAGACAAAGATGTATTTCAAAAGTTTTATACAAAAATGTTGGCGAAACGTCTCGTCAATGAATTAAGTGCAAGTGATGAAGCAGAAAGCAACATGATATCAAAACTGAAACAAATGTGTGGCTTTGAATATACTAGCAAGCTTCAACGAATGTTTACCGATACAAGCCTTAGCAAAGTGAGCATTTTTTAGCAAAAAAAAGTGTTTAAGGGAATTTTCAAAGTGAGATTTTTATAGCAAGAAAAGATGTTTAAGAGAATTTTTCATAAGCATTTAATCCCTTGGTTTGAAGTTTCAGAAACACTGATATTACCATTACCCTAACTTTTTACGAAATTCATCATTCGAAAAGATCACTGAAAATCTAAAATTATTGTTTAGGATATAACAGAAAAATATAAACAGCATATTGCGGCAAAAAATATAAATCTTGGATTGGATTTCTCAGTCATGGTTCTGGGATCAGGTGCATGGCCTTTTAATCAGTCGCCTACATTTGATATTCCGGTGCAATTCACGAGATGTATGGAATCATTCAATGAGTAAGTTTTTATTTGAGCTTATTTCAAGCGTGCTGCATTTGTCTAAAAAAAACTATCGAATATTCTTGAGTATAGTGACAGGCTTATTATGGCATATCATACTTAAATGTAATAAAAATGATCTGTATTTTTTTATCTTTAAGTATGAGCAGAGAAAAGAGTACTTATTTCGTAGTGGCTTTCAAGTCTTTATTTTTTTTAAATCTTGTTGACTCTTCAGTTTTTTTAAAGGTTTTATCAAACACAACATACGGGTCGGAAACTAACGTGGCTACTGGCGCAATGTCGTGGCGAGCTTTCAACTTACGGTTTTCAACGAAAATACACTTTCACTGTAAGTAGTTTGATTTTAATGTTTAAAAATTTTTAGAGTATAAATCTTGTTTAAATATGATTTTTTTGTAGCTACCTTTTTAAAACATTTTTAGGAAGAAAAAAATTGAAACTAAGAGTTTTCTCAGTTATTAATGATTATGATAATGAAAAAAATAATGCAGTCATTGCTTAAATTTTGAAATTGAATTTTAAAATTATCATGTTTCCTTCACAACTTTTTGTTTATAGCATATGTTAATCAGTACATGTCAAGATAATATGCGATTACTATATTTTTATTTCGGAAGACTTTCAAATTATATATATCTTAAAGAATTATGTGGTTCAAAAACTTTTTCTAAAAACTCTTTTAACCAGGCTACGACAGCTCAGATGGCTGTGCTTCTGCTGTTTAACGAAAACACGGAATTAACCTTACAGCATATTTGTGACTGTATCAAGCTTAAACTGGAAATTGTTGCACAGATCACGCAATCTCTCATCAAGGTCTTTCGCATTCTACCAAATACAATTATTTTAAATAATAATTTTTTGCTATTTACTCGTTGAAAAGACTTTTTGAAGAATTGTAGAGTTTTCTTGATCTGTTTTTCTTCATAAAATCTGTTCACAAATCTGCCATAAACGTATTTGCAGGTGGATCTCTTATCGATTGTGGGATCAAAAGCAGATGTTGATATAAATACTCCTCTCTCAACAGTTTTAAGGCTTAATTCTGATTTTTCAAAGTATGAGTCTTTTATTCGTTGTTTTATGTAATCTAACATTAAGACATCTGTTGTGGTTTTAATAATCATAAACTATTTGTAGCAAAAAATTGAAAGTTGATCTGTCGAAAACCATGGGTCGTACTGAGGTACGACAAGAAACGGTAGAGGTGCATAAGTCTGTAGAAGATGATCGAAGATTAGTTGTTCAGGCAAGTTTTTTATCGATTTATTACGGTTGCAATAAAATGGGAACAGGCATGTTTCTGTTTTTAAAATTTCTGTCATTTCAGGCAGCTATTGTTCGTATAATGAAAATGAGGAAACGAATGAAGCACACTCAACTGATTACTGAGGCAAGTTAATAAGCTGTTAATTAAAAATTTAGATTTATATTTGCATGTGTTTGCGTTATAACATGTTTTTATTTTGTCGAATAGTGGTTTGTTGTTTTTTCTTATTTTACCAGTAACCCTAAAAATTATAATAGTAATCAAGCTGTTAATATTGTTGCTGTATATGAAAAAAGTGCATAATTTCATTCCAGTTTCTTGGTTTTACATTTTAAAAAAGTATTTTAGGTTCTTGCGCAACTAGCATTACGTTTTAAGCCGAAAGTGCCAATGATTAAGAAGTGTATTGATATTCTGATCGAGAAAGAGTATTTGCAAAGGGTCGAAAATGAGAAGGATCTCTATGAATACCGTGCATGAGCTCATATTTCTGATGTATACATGAAAGAACAAACCTGAATTTAATACAAATTGCAATTTTTTTTTACTGTTCATGTTATATATGTCACAGAAGTTTTATCCATGCGTTTCTTTGTTTTCATCGTTGTCTTTTATCGTTTTATGTGCAAAATAAGGATGGGAAAGTTATATTGTTTTGAATGTAAGTGAAGTTCGAATTCTGTAGTTGTGATAATGCATGTTTTCAAGGAAATCGTTCCTATTTCTGTTTGTGTATTGGACAAAGAGAATTTCAGTTGGTGCGCGAAATGTGTTTTTTTCGAAGTTGATTTGAGGCAGAGCTGTGCTCTTGACGTGAATTTTGGATCTCAGTAATCACAATTTCTGAAGTTCAAAAAACTACGGTTGCATGTTATACATTGGTGTGAGGTATTTTTGATTTAAGTGATTGCAATCAAGAAGTTAGGTGTTTTAGAGAATCTGTGGTATAATGAAGATTGTAGAAGTGAATTGTGTTTTAACTGTAAGGTTATTGTCATGAACATGTTGAGGCTAAATTATAAGTACAGTAAATTGTTGGCACAATTTTGAAATAATTCTGTGTATTAAGCCGTGTGTATGTAATTGTTACAGATCCTCCTTTATCTGCACAAATATCGGTAGAAGGGGAATGCATTGTGTTCAATTGTTCTGGATTAGTTTTTAAGACTCATTGTACTGCATAGTTAGACATTTATTTATCTGGCTTGACCTAAGATTGAAAGAGAGGGAGGTGGTGAATTTGGATTAAATGTTTATGAGAATAGAAAGGGTCGTCGCAGACTTGCTGCTTAGAACTTGAGGGGCAGTGCATGGTTTCATTCCATGTTACCGGCAGTAAACTGTTCCTGAATTTGTGAGCAAACAGTTTGCGGTGATCTCTATTTCCATGGTTCCGTAAACAATTTGATTCATAAAGTATTGTATTTTAATGAACGGAGAACAAGCGATTTGTTATTACTTTTGTGTATTTACGATGGAAGTATATAGTATGAAAATGAATGGGTGAGTAGGTGTTTATTGGGCAATGTGTAATTTGTGGATGCGATTTAGAAAATAAGGAAAGTTGCTTACTCTTAAAGGTCTTACTTTGATCCACAATTTCTGTTCCTTAAATTTTGCTTATTTTGCAAAATTGAAAGAAGAAAAATAGGTTGCAAATTAACCTAAATGCTGCATCTAACATTGTAGCAATGTAACATTGAAACGAGCTTTGGACGTGCGGTTTCTTATCGAAAATTTTTACTGTAAGTGTTGACATTTTTGTTCAGAATTAAGAAGAAATGTCTGTACCACATGTATTGTTATGGATGTTATTTTTTTATAGAAATAAATATCTTTATCATGTATGATTTGAAAATAATAAAGTATTTTTATGACGTTTGGTTTTGTAATAGTATGAAGAAGTAAATGAGATGTTAATATTTCAGTGCCTTTTCCAAAATATATTGCAGAATTTTAGAAGGATAAAATTTTAGTTACAATCAGAATTTATGTTGGATCGTGTTATGCTTATCATTTAAGAGTGATCTAAATAATTTGCGTAATTTATATTTGGATTAAAATAGTTCATTAAATTAAAATTTGTTACGCATAACGAGGTAACTGACCTATGGAAAGATGATAAAAAGATTAGATAAAATCATTATTTAACATCAGCTCTTGAATTCAATTTAAAGGATCAACTTCAAGACGGAGTGGAAGGAAGCTCGCATTACTATTTATTACAGGTATATTTAGATTCTAATTCAATGATAAAAGTATTAAGATAGTCAGTAAATATGTCATTTCAATGTGAAAGAATGAATTTAAATTTTTAATCAAAATGCATTTTTCATTTTGGCAATTGTTATTTTGCATGCATTTTGATAGAGAAATACTATTTCTACTCCTTCTTCGCTTAATATTTCCAATAACAAGCAAAGTCTTGTATACACATAATCGTTTGAATATGTCAGGATTAGGATCTGTTGTGCAAAAATTTTTATTTCAATTGTTTTAAAATATGGAGGAAAAATTTGATTTAGTTATGTTAGGTAATTTTGCTCTCGCCAAATTATTGTATTAATGGTTTTCGTATTAATAGTTATTTATTCAAAACAGAATTGAGTAGGGAGTAAATTCTTTAGGAAAACAATTATGACAAAATTAAAAAATAAGTATTAAGCAGCTGAGGAAAGGTCAATTTTAGCTTTATTTCCTCGTAATATGATGTGATCCATAAAAGTAAGCAGTATAATTTTGATTCTGGTGTTTTTTGGATTTATGGAGGTCTGAAGTGTTGTTTGCTGTTTGTCTTGTGAAAAAATCATATTTTCAGCATTCACAGTGTTTTATAAATGTTTTTTTGTTTGTCTAAACTATAAATATTATGGTACTGTAGCAATCGTACGAGATTAAATGCTTGGTTACAATTAAAGTAATCTTTCAGATGCATTTTATTAATGTGGTATTGGTACTGTCTATTGTGATACTGCCTTCCTGTTTGTCGGCAGTGAATGAGGCATTTGTGCGTGAGGCCAGTTATCATCATCTTTATCCATATCTTTCAATAGCTGTAAGGTTACGTGATCATATGCACGTATTACCTTACTTTTTTGGTTTATTAGAGAATCTCGACTATCCGAAAGACCAAATTTTGATTGATATTTATGTGGGAAAACATACTGATGCAACGTTATCTGAAACTAAACTGTTAGTTTATTTGTCTAATATAGTGTTCAATTAAAATTAGTTTACGATCTGTTGATTATAATATGTGTCATATTTTCAAAATTGAATAAATATGAAACTCAAGTTGAGTGTAACAAGCGAAGCGTATAAAGTTCTTGTCTGATTTGAAATAATTATTAGTTTGTCGAATTTGTGATTTCGTATGATCAAACCTTATAATTAATCTGATGATCTCTATTGTTGTTACTTTTATTGTTGTACTCTCTGTATTACACTGTCTTATATTATATTGCAGTTGGACAGACAATGCTAGGATTTATTACAAATCTGTTTCCTTGAATTCGAATCCAGAAAATTGGCAAGAAGAAGCATTAACGAAAGCACGAAGTTCCAAGGCAAAGTACCTATTATTTTTAAGGGTAAGTCGGTTTTCACTTCTCTCAGTTTTGTTTTTTTTAAGAAACTAAAAATATGCGTTAGAAATAAATGACCTTCATTTTTTAAATTTCTGCAGTAAGTGCCAGACAAATATCTTGGTTCGTTTTCTAGCATTTAGAAATTTTTCATTCACTAATTAATAAATTTCAGGGTGATCATCTGTTGACGGATTCTAAAATTCTCCAGAAATTAATGCAAAAAAAGAAATTAGCTATTGCTCCGTGTCTTTTTGCACTGTTTGACGACCCGCCAACGGTTCCAGTATGTCAAAATTACTACGATCGTAATAAAGCAGCAAATATTAACGAAGTATGTTTTTTTTTCGAAATGTAGTGTAATTTTTGCATTATTATTGAAGCGTGAATGTCAGAACTCATGCAGTTTTTTAAATACGATCCTTTCATTTTATTTCAATATTTTTAACTTTTTTTTAATTTTAAATCAATAATGTTGAAATAATCCAATAGAAAATCCTTGTTTAATGTTTTGTGTAAAATATTTTAGGTAGACATGGTTCCACAACCTTTGTTAATACATTTAGCACATCCCGATTCTTCATATCTGACATTTACGGCCGATAATTTATTTAATTATTCAGAATTTGATTCTAAAGGTCCAGGTTCTGTCTTTACTATATCAGCTCTGCGAATGAATATAACATTTTTTGTCGATCATGAATATTTTTATGGATATTTTATCGATCATTCATTGCGATCTCTAAAATACCAGCGACAATTGGTTTGTTGTAAACGATGTTGCTCTTTTTAATTCTTTAATGATTTTAAATTTATGCAAAGATCTTACATTGTCTATTGTCTAAGGATTTACTTTTAAACTATAATGAGAAACTAAATGATCCTAAATTCAAGTCAACTTTACTATTTTTTGTGTATTTGGTTGCGACGAAGTTTCATTTTTAACAGTGTTTTCTGGAAAGATCAATGAATCGTTCAGCTACGCAGTAATTATGCTTTTAGTTTCATCATCTACTTACGAATTTGGTTGCTGACTTCGGCGTGATGCCTATTGTGCCTTCATCATTCTTAACCATCTCTTATCCCCAACCTTCACTTTTTGCTGTTGATAAGATATATATTATAAATTTGAAACGAAGAATAGAAAGGTATTTTTATATCTCTCAGAATTCAAAAACCCAGCTCGTTTTGTATGAGTTTCAATGAAGAATAATATATGGGTTGTAAAAATAAATTTCTCTTAATTTTTATATTTGATCCTCATAATACTGATTTTTTTGTTTTGTTTTTATGATGTTATTTAATGATAACTTTTAATCAGTGTACTTCTCCATCTTGTCTCTGAATTTGTTCTAATATTTTAGAAAAATCAAAATGGAAGAGAAAATGAAATTACTTGGATTTCAATATACCTTTTGGGAAGCAACTGATGGTTCAAATTTAGATGCTGAACCTTTGTACTCTGAAGTTGAATTTTTACCTGAATTTGAAGATCCATTCACTGGGAGGCCTATGACAACTGGAGAAGTATGTGTAGTGTTGAAATATTGCGTATATAGTTTTCAATTAATCTTTTCATTCCTTCAAATTTCAAAAAAAATTTTTTCATTATTTTGTAAGTTTATAACTAGACATCATCAAGGAGTTGGTGCTCTTAGCTCTATTTTTCATTCAAGATCGGTTGTTTTATAAGTCATTATCGCATATGGCAAGAAGTAGTAGCAAAAAAATTAAGTCGCGTACTCGTTTTCGAAGATGATTTACGATTCCATGTAAATACGACTGATTTTCTGGCAGAACTTCTCCAGGATCTTGATAGTTCCAAAATTGATTGGGATCTCATATATTTAGGGAGGAAAATTCTTCGTGGAGACGATGAAAGGTGGTTACCGAGTAAGTTATATTTTCATTTTCTTTTTCAATCAGGAGACTTGTCCTTACATTGAAGTTGTTATTTATGGTCTGCAATATGTTAATGGTAATTTTTTATAAAGGATTAGTATTTAAATCTGAAAGCTTGTTGTCAGAAAACAAAACTTTGCATCACATGTATGTTTGGTATTGAATATAATTTCTAACAGATCATCGACATTTAACAACAGTAAGTTATTCGTATTGGACACTTGGTTATTTATTATCACAAAATGGTGCACAGAAGTTTATTCGAGGTAATCCACTAAAGAAATTATTGCCAGTGGATGAATACATGCCTATCATGTATAACAAACATCCGAATACGACATGGAAAGAAGCATTTCCAAATCGTGATTTAATAGCGTATGCAATTTCTCCAAGTATTGTTTTTCCTGAGAGATATGTTAATGATCCTGACTATGTTAGTGATACAGAAAATTCTGACATTGTTGATATAATTGACAAAGCTACAAAAAATATCAACCTGTCAAGTAAAGATGAATTATAAATGATTGATGGATATATTTCTGAAAGGTTATTGAAACAGGTATATTAACATCGTTTTGCCGATGCAACTAATTAAAGTATGTTGAATTCAATGTTCGTTGCAACTAACTTCAAAACTGGAAGTGAAAACTACTGTGCGAATGATACTAATTATCCAGTGATACATTTTACTTGAATTATTGTCACTATATACTTTATTTTCTTACTCAGAATTTAAACTCTTTTCTATCTTTACTATGTATCACAATTATCGTTGATATGATTCATCAAATATTTGCATTAGTTTCAGGTTTTTCTACAATTATTTCTTTTTCATGCTTTTCAATTGACCAGTTTTATGGGACTGCATAAGATAGAGTTAGCTAAACATTCTAGAAAATATTGTGAATCTCTTAGCATTAATTTTTTAATTCAATTGCATGCTAAGTACTAAAACAAAGTTTATATTTTCACTTCATTCATATCATTTTGCCGATTTTTAATAATAAATTTCACGTTCAGATAAGTATGTCTAAGTTTTTTTAACGCAATCAAGCTGATTCATTGATTGGCTTCGACTGTATAGAAAATTTGAATCACGTTTAATATCTTTGATGCTCTGTTGTAATATAATTTTGTTTGTCTAGAAAATTTTGGAATATGTGCTATTTATATTTGTAAACACATGATAGTGTGTGAAATGATATAACTGCTCTGGGATTGCTCACCAAATTTTGCATTTTAATAGTTTATATGACTGATGTGAAGTTATTTTGTTATGTTATCAATCAGTAAGTGCTATGTTTTATGAATGATAGTATAACTTACATTCAGCTGTTTAAACTACTGTTATTTATTTGTGTTTATGAACAGTCTATGGTACTGGGAAATTTTGTCCACCATATTAGTACAGGAAAAGTACTAAAGAAAAAGTACAAACTTAATATCTATCATACAATATAATTTTTAAATTTTGTGTTAGTATTTTTGGATGATATTTTATGATAGATAAAATTATATAGAATTGTTCAGAGGAGTATGTTTCAAATTATTTACCCGTCTTAATGTTGGTCTTCTTGAACATTGGAGCGATTTTGGACTTATATATTGCTGCCCGATAGGCGAGGTTCGAAGATTTGTATTATTCCTTTTACGTAAATTTAATATTTTCGATTAGATCATGCACAACATTCCAATTTAGAGATGGGATGCATTTGTGGAAAACCAGATCTGGAAATTGGAACGCAGCAATATCAGATCATAAAATCATTCGCTAAAGGGCATGTTCACGATTTATATGTTATAATATGTATTTCTTAAATGAAAGTTTATTTTGTCTTCAAAGCTTGCGCATTCCGTACTATGAGTAAGACTAATTTAGCAAACATGTTAGTGAATAGAATATTTTCCAGTAATGATTTTACTTAGTACTGATATATTAGAGAACTTTGATAAAGACAATTGAAGTCAAAAACTAAGTATTGTTTAGTATATTTCAAAACATCTTCAGAGGCTTCAGTCAATTATTTTTGGTAGAAGAATATAGAAGTGGTAATAAGCGGGCATTAAAACGAATTGATTGCTTCTCGAAGAAAGATGTTGAACGTGTAAGGAATGAGATTGATGTACAGCGTCGATTTGGATTGCATCCGAATATTTTATCATTAGAATGTTTTGCAGATGAAGAAATTCCTAGTGGTCTTCGCTTTTCTTTAATTTTTGTCTTTTATAAGGTTTGTGGTAGTTTTATTTCGTTTTTATTTCTTTGTTTATTCTGACTCTTTGCATTGGAAAGTTCATATTTATTATTGCAAAAATTAGTAAGCGGTTCATGCTGAATATTTCCATATAGTATTAGGCTTACTGGTTAAAATGGATAGCAAAAAGAAATAATTTCTGAAAATTTGAAATAATTTTTATTGTTCTAAAGTTTATAAATCACTATTATTAATGCACAGGTAATAAAAATTATGATAATAAATGTAAAAAGTTGTGCTTGTATTCATTGTTTCCACTTATATACTAAGGATCTATGAGATTACGTTCTATAACTTGAGTAATGGCAGCACTTTCAGCGTGGTAGCCTTCAAGATGAACTAACATTTCGCCGTTCATGTTCTGATTATATCAGTGAAGAACGAGTTATACGTCTTTTCTCTCAAATTGCTTCAGCTATAAATTTAATGCATTCATCTTCACCACCCATTGCTCATAGGTCGGTCTTTTGCGTTTAGTACAACATTAGATGTTCCAGTTGATTTAAAAAATAACTTTGACAAGTAGTGCAGTATTACAGTTTCAGTTTTTGAAATTTTGAAATCTACTAAGTAGGAAAATTATTGTTCAAAAATTTTCACTTGTAGGAAAAAAATAAGATACTTTTTAGAGATATAAAGCCAGCTAATATATTGTTGTCTGACGATGACCGTCCAATTTTGATGGATTTTGGTAGTTGTTTTGAGTGTCCAATTATAATTAATAATGGAAAAGAATCAAGATTGCAGCTGGTATGTTTTCATATTTTTGTCAACAGTTTTTAAATCCATTCAAAGAACGAGAATGCCATTAGGATGCTATAAATATTCATTAATATGCTGAATTTCCGTGATGTTGCAGGATGAAGCTGGTGAGTTGTGTTCAATGCCTTACCGAGCTCCAGAACTTTTTGTTTGTGAAGTTGGCTCGATAATAGATCAGTCTGTGGATATTTGGGTTTGTATCATTGTACATAATTACATGAAATTTTTTAAAGTGATTTTACACATAATAGGTAGGCGAGTGCTGAAAGTTTATAGCAAAATTAATTTTAGGCTCTTGGTTGCCTTTTATTTGCCTTATGTTTTTTTCGTTCACCATTTGATGATATTCATGAACGTGGGGATAGTATCGCTCTTGCCGTTCAGTCGGGGAAAATTACGTATAATAAAAATCATCCGTAAGTGTAATGATCCTTGTAAAATATTTATTATTTGTTGTTTCATGTTATCAATTTTTTTTCAACATGTATATATTTAGATACACTGCAAAAATTTTGAATGCAATTCATGCAATGATAACTGTTGATCCCAAGGATCGTCCCAGCATTACTTCAGTACTTGAAATGTTAAAATAGTTCAAGCCGTGCTGATGATTAATATTTTATGACCCGAATTCGTTTGCAATCTATCACTTGTAATTAAGCTTAAAAACTTATGAGGTGATTTATTTGCTGATTTTAAAATGAATTTATATTTTTTATTTTCAAACTCATACATTTATTTTGTTTTGTTAACAAACTTTAACTTTTTGTACATATTTTTTGATAATTCCATACGACTAAGCCGATATACCACTTCTTTAGATTTTTGCTCTTAATTTTTAGTTTCGATTTAAGCTTTGCATTTTGTCTTTTATGTTGTGTTTCAGATGTCATGATAGCTAAGACATTAGGAGAGTTCACTTTTTTCTGTGACAAAATGATTGGACTCTATTATCATATTTTGATATGCTTGAATACATAGAAATACGCTGTATTTATTTTTTCACAAGCTTGTTAAATGTAGATATTTTCGAATATTTTTCAGTCGTATGCTGCTATCATTTAGTTCATATGACAGTTTACTTGTAAAAATATAATATTTTGAATTTTGCTATGAAAGTCTGTTTCAGTATATTGCCATTTGACGATCTTGGAAACATAAAAATACAAACAATTTGCATATGTGTAAATAGTGTTTTTTAATAATATTTTAATTTGTCAGTAATCAGAAGTAAAATCTTGGAATGATTTTGTGTAAATTATGAGTCCTGTGAAACTCGGTATTGAATACAAATTATTTTTACAACAGAAATATATTAAATGAAAAGTATCAATATTGCTCAAGCATAAGTAATGACTTACTATTAGATTACTTTTGATCATCAGTTCGATATCAGAAATGATAGTGTACACATCAGTCTATTCAAGAGAACAAGGATTTAACAATTTTTTAGATTTTAATGGTTTTCGTTGTTTGCATTTTTTTATTAATCATCAGTGTAGGACTCAAGAAAATATAACATCTAAGTAAGCAAAATCATAAATTGCAGATTCGCTCTGAGATCATTTTACGAAGAAATTGTCCACATCCTAAACATTACTATTTGACCCTTAACCTTGTTCTTATTCTTTTATGTTTTTTGCCAGGTTTACATACCAAAATTGTACTACTAAAAATGATCTCAGTACAATTAGTAAACTGTCTTAAGTAATTTATGGGCAACAAGATAGTGAAGTAATTTTTATTTGTGAATAGGACTAAATTGTTGGGGTTTCGATATTCACATGCTTGAATATTATAATGCATAGCTGAGCAGTTGATATGAATATTTCATTTTCAAGTATTTTTCTGTAAGCACAATGTCCATTCAGAGATACCAAACGTTTATCACATAATGAGCAAATTATACAAATATTTATTTTGAGTTTATTTTCCAAGAAATTTATTCAAGCCACATCTCAAATAAATTTAATTTGCTTAACTTATAGGTTTCGTTTATTATCACAGCTTCAATCGCATTTACTCCTTGCTGTTGATCTTATTTGCTGATCATTCAATCCATGAATCTTAGCAGTCAATCAAGGATTTTTTTTTAATAAAATCATTCAAATTTTTTGATAGTTCAGTCGCAAAGCTAGTCGATGACAGCCATGTGTAGCAATAAGAATGTTAACGGAATCAGTGATAAGTTGAAGTGATCATTACAAGCAGCTCCATCTTCTGAAAGCAGTATTATGCATAAGAAAGTCAGGTGTACTTTACATAAAGAAAGCACAATTTATGCAAACTTCTAAAACTGTTTAGAGAAACTGAAGATCAGAAATGCATAGCTTTCAATGAATTTTTTTCGCTTTTTTAAAAAGAAATTCTTATTCGTTTTTCATAACATGATATTTCTTGACTGCTAAAAGGTGATATTAAATATTTAAATCATTCCTGAGCTTATCCCTTAATAACTCTAATCAACAGCAATTTATGTGGATTTGGTATTTTTATAATGAAAGTAATTTTCTATATGACATCTGTTCATTGAAATACGATAGTAAAACGCACAAATGGGGAACAGTAATTGCCCTTACATAAACCTTCAAAAAGAGCCTAATATGGTTTCTTTCTTCTTTTTTTCGTACTTTTCAATTATCAATTTTAGAAAGAGTTGGAAGTTTGCATGATTAGACATTATGCAAAAATTATTCAAAATTCGCAATGCATAAAAATGTAACATTTATGTCAATTAAATTGAATTACAAGCTACAGATTGAGAGATTAAAGGACAAAGCTACAGATTGAAAAATTAAAGGTCAAATCTACAAGTTTAAAAGATTAAAAATTACAAATTTCAAAGATTTAATATTGTTGGACTTGTGTGTTAATTCGGAAAAGTGTTCTATAATGTATAGTTTGATTTAATTTAGGTCATTTATAAAGGCCCAAAAGTTAAAGGCAAGTAAGGCAGATCATTTATGCTTGTGAAAGTAATTTAATCGTTTATTAAAAAAGTATTATAAAAGCCTATGAAGGCTTTGGCAGGTGTTGAATAATCTATCATTTATGCAAATATCATCCATCCGTTATTATAGCCGCCACATTTCTTATATTTCAAAGGGCGGTATTATTATTATTATTATTATTATTACTATTACTATTATTGTCATTTTCTTATTTTGAAAATTAATGACAAAGTAATATGGACAGTCGTTTGTTCTCATTAATAAAATCATCTGCTCAATACTTATCCATCCATTGATCTGTCAGTCCAAAAAAGGCATTCAAAGTATCTTATCTGTCCATTTTATCAATATATTCAAAAAATTGCCTAAATAAATTCATGTAAATATATTGATTTAATAAAATTAAAAAGATATTTAATCATAGTCGATATTCAAATTTTTATCGGTCATTACCATTACTTATTTACAATCCCACAATAAATCATTTTTTCGACCTTTCATAAATTGCAATTTACGAAATGGCAAAATTGTAAGTTTTTTCTACGCTTAAATTTTTGCATTTTTTGAAAATATAATTAAATATACTGCATTAACTAACCATCTTCAGGGGCTGAATATCCTTCAGCTGATGATTCACTGGTATGAATTATGTACAGTAGTGGAGTTGATACTTCGGCTGAATTCCTATAAATTAGAAAATATGTTTCAGTACTTCAAAAATTGAGAAAGTAATTATTTGATGAAGTTCAGAAAAAGTATTTATGAGTAGTTATTATTTATTTGCGTTAACAGTTGGATTTAATAATTAGTCAAATCTTTACTTTAATTTGTGTGCTAATTTGTGTTCACAGCTAAGCAAATAAATGAGCACTTAAGTGAACGACAAATTAAATTACTTTTCTGTGAAGAATACCAATCAAAAGTTAAACTGCATACTGTCATAATTATTCATACTCAAAAAGGAATTGAATTACAAACTCTCAAAAAGTAACGAATGAAATTTGATATAAATATATATATATAAAATATTAAACAAATTTTTTAATTTGCTAACTGATCTTTTGTGTAGTAAACAAGCACTATGAAATTACAATATATATTTCTATCAAGTTCACTAAAAATAAATCATAATTTGTTGGTTAATAATAATGTGGCGCGTAAAATCACGTACTGCAGTCTATGCCTGAAATGTGCGCTTGACGGTTCCATGTAGTTATTCAAACTTTCGCTGCGATCTGCAATAAATTTTTAAATTTTTAACGAGTTCATATGTTATCTAATTTAACATAGTGACTAACTTTGCCCTTTGCTACTAATAAATTTTAATTTCAAACTTCAATTTTTTTATTTTTGAAATAATCTAATAATTGAACATAAAATTCAACGATTGGCTCAATTATTTATTTTTTCACACTGTTATAAGATACATCTGCTGAAGAAGAATTTCAACCATTAATTATATTTCTGAATAGTGCAATTTTTAGCGATAAAATCTTCCTAAAAACTAAAATTCAAATTTGTGATTTATATTATTTTTAATTTGCTTTCGATGCATAAAATAAGCACAAGTAATTGTTGACTCTTAGTTGAAAATGAATTAAATATAAAATTACTAATTTGATGCAATTTTATCACTAGTCTAATTTATGCAAATTAGTTGTTTGATGAACCAAAATAAAGCAAAATAAGTGTAGTCTTCTGCAATCATAGCTTAATCTAATTAAGGAATACAAGTAGAAATTAAGCAACGAAATTGAAAAATTCACATCAGTAACACAAATATATGACCAAATTACTATTACGTTACTGGTTAAAGCAGTAACGTAATTAAGTGTTGTGCACGTAGTAAGCGTAATAAAATTTGAATACTTTTTTGTTGTACATATAATAAAAAGTTTGCTTTAAATAACCACTAATTTGCTCGACAAATAAACAAATAGCAAACAAATATATTAATTTATTCTAAAGTTTATAGAAAAACAAATATTGAAATAAGCAATTTTCTAGCTACACATAATGACTAATTCAGTATAATTTAAAGGGTTTGATCCAAATAAAAAGTTTATTAATGCAAAAATAAAATGCCAAAATGTGAAAATACATTTTTAATCAAAAATTCTTCATTACATGCAATGATAATTTTAGGTTTCGGTCATGAAATACTAAGATGCATGCAATTAATTTTCAAATATGGCAATTTTTTTCTCACTTATTATTATGGCAGCAAAGTTATGAAAATATAAGTGATTGTTGATGATAAAATAAATAATAATTAATTAATTAACTAATTTTTTCGGCTGGCTCATTATTATAATAGTGTATGACAGATAATTTATCCAATTAATTTATATTATGAAAGATTCTTTAATGATATCGTCTAGTTATTGAATCTCAAACCCTAGCAGATAAATTTCTATTCAAGCTGATTAATATCTTGCATAAATTTCAAAGTAAGAATGATGTAAACAAATTAGATTTACAACAAGTAATGAGTGATTACACCTGTTGCTTCTCACTTGGGGTGATGCTACAATTCTGCAAACTCTATATTTTCAGTATAATCCATCACAATCCCATTACATTAACAATTACCAAATAGCCATGAATTTACATTATTATTATTATTATTATTATTATTATTA